GAGTGCAGATATATCCAGGAATGAGACCACAGAGAAGTCCAGGATCAAACTGTGGATGTTCACAGGAGGAACTCGGATGTTGGCAGGAAGTTCTACATTCCAGTTCACCTGGACTGGAAGATCTGAATAGTCTGTGGGCTTGTCTAGATCCTCCATGTTGCTTTCATCCTCTGACTCTTCAATGGGCATTGAGCATGTGGCCTGTAGTCCATTCTATAACCGAAAGAAATGTGATGTATATCTAAATGATAAGATTAAGATATCATTTAGGTATCTAAGATGTACAGTAGGTATCAAAGCACTGGATGCAATACAGCTACATTGCATAATCCTTGAGTTTATTGTTATCATGTTTAAGACGTACAGATGTTAAGGTCAGCTCCCCTTTCTTTATCAGTTTCTTCATTTTCTTCACTGCTTTGTTCCTCTTCCTCAGGATTCTCAGAGGATTAAAGCCCACCTGCCACAAAGTGCACAGGTTAGATTGTTATTATGTCAGCTGGTAAAGTTATCTGAGGTCAGGGCTATCACACTGAAACTACTGCACTCACAGCATCCTTCAGTTTGTCTCTGAAGAAATCGATATTTGCAAAGAAAATGGGAGATGGGATTCTGAAAATCTTCACTCCCTCTGGCTCATAGATCTGTAGGAGATTCAGAAAGACAGAAAATGAAACCAAGGCAAGGTCTTTCGTCCATCTGCTTCTTTTCACTGTGTTTTAAACTGTCCATATCTTGGCCCATCATGTGCATTGACACACCAAGTAATGTTAATAGAAATGACACATAATGATTATGTTGCCGAATATGAACAAAGAGGATGCGTCTGTTAGTACACTTACATTGACATAGTCCTTGCGATCTCTGTAGATATCTGTCCCTGAGATATTAGCCAGGACACAGCAGCGTGGACTGCAGAGCAGAAAAGATCAATTGATTTTTATCCAAAAAAGAAACAGGATATATTATAAATACGAATATGATGAAAATTAAACCTAATTTCTTTGCCCAGGTCACAATATCTTTAAAGAAGCAGCTAATATCTACACCATATTCAAATTCTTTTTATTTTATTTTTTCATCTAGTTAATTGGATCTGTCAGCACTTACAACTGAGCCCTGAAGACCACAGTGAGGA